TGATGCTGTCGTGTCCGCGAAGTAGTGTCGTCAAGCGGGTGGCTGTCATATCCGTGGGGTCCTCGATGTGTTTCGCGAGGCCAGCCTCAATCTCCTGGACGGCGGGGCGGAGGTATCCTGGAGGCTGAGGATGTCCGACGTGAGCGAGGCGTCCATCTTCGATTGCGCTGCGCGGATAGTGGAATTCGGAACCGGCAATATCACGTTTTTCCATTTAGTCCGGGCCCCGTCTCCGTCTGGGTTGTTTGGGGCTGCCGGTTTCTTGGCGTCCCACAGGCGGATGGCGTCGGCGGGCAGGCGGGCGTGAACGGGATTATGGTCGAAGTTTCCACCGGCGACAGAAACGTTGCAGTACGCTTGTGGCGTGTTCCCGTTTGCGGGTGTCTCCGCTTTTACACTCGCGTGTAGGGTGGGGCACATCAGGATATCGTCTATTCGGCTTTGGTGTGTACAGCATTCCTGGGTCCACTGCTTGAAGGACGGGTGGCGGGGGGAGCAGTTTTCAGGGACCGGTGTGAGCGTGTTATCGGTGATGAATTTGAGGTGTAGTCGGTCTGCTGTGTCGAGCAGGCCTGTACTGCGGTCGTCAGGATTCAGAACGGCATTAAAGTCTCCGGCCAGGGCTACGTGTTCCCCGTTACTCTTGGCCTGTCTTAGAACTGTCCGGCAGTGCGCGTATATGGTGGTTCGGACTAGGGTGTTTTCTGGACAGTAGATTCCCAGCACGTGTAAGGGGGTACTTGCTGACGTGGAGATCTTGCAGTGGCACAGGTACCCTTGTAGCAGAGGCGGCGGTGGTATGTGCGTCACTTGTCCTGCACGAGTGTAACGAGCACCAATGGCAATTGCTACACCTGCTGAGTAGCGATCCTTGCCAGAGCTACGTGGTTTCGAGCTGCAGTAGAGCCTGTATCCCTGCGGTTCTTTGCGTATGGCGTCCTTCATCCATCCGGTGCGGTTGTCGGTTTTGGTTTCCGTCAGGACAATGATATCAGCAGCCCAAGTCTGCATATTGCACATGTCCTCAGTCCTCCATGCATATGCTCTATGCTGCTGCGGGCCGCCAGCCAGCCAGCAGCAGACTGGGGATTGCTGGCTACCCCCCATTCATGCGGTTGATTGATTGCCGCCTCGTGCATCAAAATACCAGGGTGCATATACGTAGGGTGCGCCTGGAGAGATAACAGGCGGCTGGCAGAGGTTAATGCCTGACTTCTGCTCCCGGAGTGTTCGGATTCAAATCCGCCTGCCGACCTCTCGGGTGTTTGAGAGGTGGTGAAATGGGAGGTGGCCCCCCATCTTGTGGATAGTGTAGGACGTGATAAAATCAACTTGCGAGCTGACCAGGAACTAAGTTGACGCGCCGTTGATCCGCTAGATTTGGTTGGATGCTGGTGGTGAGTTGCCAAACTACAACTGGAGTACACTCTGAAGTTGGATGGGGTGAATGGGCTAGGGTGCCCCTCTCGCAGGGGAGAGCAGGGAATTGCCTCGTGAAGGAGGCCACTGGTGAAGCTTAACCACCCTGTAACAACATCAACAGTAGAATGCAAGCCTGCTGGCCGCTGGAGGTCAGCAGCCTCCAGCACAACACGGCATACATGGGCTGTGTAGGCGGAAATGTGTGTGTGTGTGTTACATGGTTGGGGGTGCGTGACCCCATACCTGTTAGACTACCCGTACGAACCGAAGGCCCAAGGGCAATACTACAGCGCCTAACAGCCACGGAGGAAAGGAAAAACAGCGGCAAAAATAAATGCACAATCAAGCGACTCGGGTTTTAAGAGACAAGCAACGGCTCTTGCACTATCGGTACACCTGACGTACCTACGAACACAGGCGACGGAGTGGGCAAAGAGTGAATCAGTCTTAGCACTTGGCGCAGAAAGATTGACACAGAGATGCATGACATAGAGCGAGTAAGCGGTGTAGCTTATACTATCTTAAATACCCACTGGCGACTTAGCACAGGCGATAGATATGGCCGAGCTGACCAGGAATGGAGTTGGGCCGATGTCGATCCGGCAGATGTCGATCCGGCATTCCGTTGGATGCCAGTCGATCCGGCCGCCGAGTTGGGCCGTCGATCCGCAGGCAGTTAGTTGAGATCCGGGGGTTGAGATCCGGCAGATACTGTTGGATGCTGGTGGTGAGTGCGGAACCTGAGCGATTCATTGATAAGTTGACTAGGGTGACTGGTTGTGGGTGCCCGAGACACCGGGGAAGGCAGGGTTTCGCAGGGTAGCGGCCACGGGTGAAGATATGCCCCCCTGTCCCGCACCTTAAGATATGGCCATACCCAGACTAGCGGCAAGACTAGCGGCTGAAATTAGCCTTCGTTAAATTTAAATTGTGCGAAGAGAAGTGGAAATGTTTTTCAGATAGCTCTACATACACTCAGAGAGACAGAAGTCCGGATTTGGGCGATTCGGATTTTGGCGAAGTAAAGTTACCTATAGTACCCTCTATCGCACTTATTCATTACTCGCTCTTTTTTATTTTTATATCAAATTTTTCGATTTATTAAAGCATACTCGTTACCTAAGCTCCAGGCTCCAGTTTGCTTGCACACTGCGGCCTTACGTGCGGCGGCATTATGCCGTATCTGGCTCCTATCACTGCCAGGTGCTGTAATAATAATAAGTGGGGCTTGTTCAAGGATACTGTTATGCTATGGACGTAGGACTCACTTTCATACGGAGACGCTGAGCGCATACTACTCACTAGGGCTTAAAATTGAACATGCGCAATAAGGACACAAATGCATTTGCTGCCATAAGAACAATGCATTGTCATAATCCTCAAACACAGCAGGGGTGGAGATTGGGTTGTGGGTGATGGCCGGCGGGTCATACATCACTTGCGTAGTAGTATCTTGCGTGCGATTCCATTTTGCGGCGTAATTTTTAATACTATGTAGATCAGATTTTTCGGTAATTTTCGGCGCGGGAAATGGCTATGTAATTTGTGGACAGGGTGGGCATAGTTTGCGAAGCGGCAGGGTCTGTCCGACAGTTACAGTTAGTCAAGTACCTTGGTCACATCGTGGGCTCTGATGGTATCCGAGTGGATCCGAACAAGGTGGACACGATCCGAAACTGGCCACTACCTAAGTACTTGCAGCAGCAACCAATATAGCAATATAGCAATATAGCAATATAGCAACCATATAGCCACAATCACAACTTGCAGACTCAACATCATAACAATGACCGAACCGGGTTAACCCGGTCGGTCTATTTACCTTCAATAACTTTTCTGAGAACAGAGACATCAAAATGGCTCGCAACAGTTCAACGGATCAGGCCGCCGGTGTGACGGCGGAACGATCTGAAGCAACCATATCAATTTCCCTTCTTAGGGAAATTACGAAGATGGAGCAACCTTTTGGCAAACTTCGATCGCTGGCAATGAGAGCAATCTTTCAAGGAAACTACCTAGAGAACAGAAAGCAGGTAATAGACATTATGGCAGGACCGATTGGACACCGAATAGTGCAGACAGTACAACAGGAGCTAAAAGCTCCTTATGTTTTCGTCGGAGAACCGGTCGCTTGGGAAGCTCGCAACGACGAAGGAGTCGTTGGACAGATCAACGTCTACGTACCGGAGGTGTGGATTACGCCCGTAAAAAACTTAGCGGACCATTGCGGACGAATCAATCTAGCAGATCTCCATCTAGGAGATTACCACATTCAAGATCTTGTAGTAGACATAGTGGGGGCATCTGCCCAATACTTCAGACTGACAGGATTACCTCCAGCATTTCCTCAGAAATGCCTATTCTGGCTTATTGCGGAAGCC